TTATTCGGTGCTATTTTTTCAGCATTCTAGAAAATTTACTTAAAATGTATAAAAACTATTCAAGTATTTATTTGTTCCAGTAAAGCAATCCAAGAAATGAAAAAAAGAGAAAGTGAATTGTTGATATCTTTTTTCCTGTTTTTATTTTGTTGAAGTAAATGTATTTCTAGTGGCATTGTTAAGTTAATCAACTGTTGCATTTAATTGGGCTGGTTGTGCAAGTTCCGCATATTCTACAATAAAAAAGAGATCGAGTTTCTTTCTGAACCTTGCTTGATATACTCACTACCTATAAATTATAGTAGGCTCTTTGAAACCAATGAAGCCGACGTATGAGATCGTTTTTGTATATCTGGAAATAGTCGCTAAACATCAAGAGAACAAAAATGTATGATCCTACCAATCCTCTGATATTTAGCTTCATGAATACAATCATCGAGTTTTCGCACAAACGCGTCCATAGTAACACTAAACCAGAGAAAAGATCGTGACTTAAGGGTTCTATCAAAAGAAATGTTTCTTACCCCTGTGGCAACAAAAATGTTTTCACATTTGGTTTCTTTCCCGATAGACTCTCTGTAACTGACATTTAATCTTTTTCACTACATCTTCTCTGCATTCAAAACACAACTAAAATCGATAAGTAAAATACAAAATAATATTATTTATTATTGAAATTAAAACATATCAACCCCCTTGAAATATTTTTTTTCTTGCAGACACCATAAAAATTACATCATTAGAAAGAGCGTAAAAAACTGAGTATAGTCCAACTATTTTCGCGTCGGAGTATGCCCAAGTCCCCAGCAATTTTTTTCAAAAATAGATTTTATAGCAGAAATACATGTAAAACTATCGTTCCCTTCTATGCGATAGCTAATTCTTCTTTTTTTCTTTCGCTCTCTTCTTTCGCTCTTGTTTTCTTCATTGCGCATGTGTATGCATGCATATATGTATACAAGGTGGTTCAGAGTTGTTTCAACAAATATAAAAAAAATAATCAATGAGCTACACAAATATTCATAATGATAACGATGATGAAACGATGAGTTGATTTTTTCTAAATATTATTTAGTAAAGAAATGTTTTAAATCACTCCTGTACAATATCGTATGATAAAATTAATAACTAGAATTACAATAAATCCTCAAGAATTTAAATGAAATAATATGTATTTCAAATATATAAATTCATATACCTAACAAGCTTCATCGAATAAATTATTAAAAAAATAAATAAAGCCTATTCTCTCTTTCTAATATAGATACTAGCCCAAATATATTCTAAATTGTTTTTTTGTTTTATTTAATAAACTTTTCATTTTTTCCCTTATGTTTGTCGATCATAATCAATCATATATTTTATTCTTAAAATTAATAAAAAAAAAAAAAAACATTTATATTCATGAGTGCACATATAGATTTATATTTATATAAGATATCGCTAACATTTCTTGATTAAATGAGCTAATATATGATAAGAGACATTTTTATATAATTTATATCAAAACGATTTATATTCCATCAAGACCTTAGTGAACATGCACGTGTTTAAATATTTTTTTCTCTTTCTTTTTCTCAATTATTGATATCATATCCTCTGGCATATAGGGCTCAACATAAAGCGGTGAACTATGTTATCACTTAGATTAAGTTATTTCTTGCTTAGAAAGTTTTCTCATAAATATAAATATTATCATCTGAATTTAGAAATATTCAGCTCTTATTAAATTTAGATTTGTCTTTTTTTTTGTCCATAGATTTCTATCATCTCAGTTTATTTAGTATTTTAATCCAATAATTTGTACAACATAAAAAAAATACAAATATTAAAAGAAATATCAAAAAAATATGAAAAACATGTATGTTCATGGCAGCATAAAATTTGATAACACTGCTACATAACAACGAATATTAACATCCATGTATATAGTAATACGTTGGTTCATCTAAAATATTAAACATATAGCTTTTGATCAGTCTTACAAATTGTTTAAACTTACCAAAAGCAATAATTTATTAATTACATGTATATGTATTGATTGTATCTTAAGATCATTCTAATAAAATAAAATAGTATTATGCCTATAATAGAAATAAATAGATGAAATTTATGTTTAAAAAAAGATTCAAACATTTATTTATCCATTAGAAAGCTTCTTTTACTGGTAATTGAACAAATTTATTAATAATAGTTCATTTCTCTTTAAATAAATAAACAATTGTTTATCATTTATTTAAATTCGTGTAGATTTCAATAACTGGTGACACATGTATGGTTCTTTCTAAAATAAAACATTTAAATTGTTGGTAATTTATATTTAAAGTAAATTTTTACCATTTATAAATTTATGTTATATTTGAATTTGAAATAATTTTGTGTATAAGTCAAATTAGTATCTAAATATAGGAAAAAAATTCTTAGAAATGAAGTTTATTTTATAATTGAAAAAAAAATTATTGTTACCTCAATTTGAATTTGAGTTAAAGATAAATTTCATCTAAAATAAATACATGAAGTTTATGTTAAAAACAATATTCAAACAATTATTTATTCATTGGAAAGAATATTTTACTTCTAATTGACCGAATCGTTTCATAAGAGTTAGTTTCTGTTTAAATAAAGAAACAATTATTTATCGCTTATCTAAATGCATGTAGATATAAATCACTGGTAAAACATATATGGCTGTTTCTAAAATGAGGCATTTAAATTGTTGGTAATTTTGATTTAAAATAAATTTTTACCATTTTGTAATGAAAGAAAAATAGTATTATGCCTATAATAGAAATAAATAGATGAAATTTATGTGAAAAAACGATTCAAAAATTTATTTACTCACTAGAAAGCTTAATTTCCTTGTAATTAATCAAATTTATTAATACCAGCTCATTTCTCTTTAAATAAATAAACAATTGTATATCTTTTTTTCAAATTCATAAAGATACGAATAATTGGTGGAACATATATGGCTCATACTAAAATAAAACATTTAGATTATTGGTAATTTTTTTAAAATAAATTTGTACCATTTATAAATTTATGTTATATTTGAATTTGAAATAATTTTGTGTATAAGTGAAGTTAATGTCTAAATTAACGAAAAAAATTCTTAGAAATGAAGTTTATTTTATAATTGAAAAAAAATTATTGTTACCTTAATTTGAATTTGAAATAAAGATAAATTTCACCTAAAATAAATAAATGAAATTTGTGTTAAAAAAAAGATTCAAACATTTATTTATCCATTAGAAAGCTTCTTTTATTGGTAATTGAACAAATTTATTAATAATAGTTCATTTCTCTTTAAATAAAAAAACAATTGTTTATCATTTATTTAAATTCGTGTAGATTTCAATAGCTGGAGACACATATGGTTCTTTCTAAAATGAAACATTTAAATTGTTGGTAATTTGTATTTTAAATAAATTTTTACCATTTATAAATTGATTATATATTTAAATTTCAAATAATTTTGTGTTTAAGTCAAATTAATATCTGAATTAAAGAAAAATTTTCTTAGACATGAAATTTGTTTTATAATTGAAAAATACATTATTATTACCTCAATTTGAATTTGAGTAAAAGATGAATTTCATTTATCATAAGTTGAATATATATTTAAAATTTATAAAGAAACTCTAATTATCATAGATTGTATTTGTTTTATAAATTTTAAAACATATTTTATTTATAGTCATTGAATTTTTAAATTTAAAATAATGTTAACGATTAAAATTTGAATTCGACTTTGAATTTTGCAATATGTTTAGTTTATTGATGATTTTGTGTAACTATAAATTTGGCAAGAAAATCAAGATGATAGCCAAATCCGTGGTTGAAATTTAAACTAAAAGTCTAATTATCATTATTGAACCATTTCTTGATCTGACACAATTCATATTTGATATTATTTGTAGATGAAAATACATATATATTGAGAACAATTGTATTTTATAAATTAAATGAAAATATTCTTTTCATATTTCGATCAATATATCTAAAATGAAAAATAAAAATAAAAATATGATTCATATATTTTTTTACCATAAACAATATTGTGTTAAATGAATAATTCAATATAATTTAAGATCTTTGATCAATTGTGTAATATTTTAACTAAACAAATAATAGCTATTGAACCAGTTCGTATCATTAAACTAAAATAAACAGAAAAAAAACGATCATTTAGTTTTTTTATTCGATAAAGTTTTATTCTACTAAAATTATTTTCCGTGAATGTACCTTCACTTCATCATTTCATTGAAGAAAAGTACATTCAATTAAAAGGAGAAATTTAATTCAACTGAAATTTAGTCGAACTAAGTGTTATGAAAAAAAAAATAACAAGAATCAAGAACAACGTTTTTGTTTGAATCTAGCTCGAGCCAATGATTCGTCAAATCTTGACAAATTATAGAAGACAAAACAAAAGATTTTCGTGCATGCAATGCAAAATTAACAAAAGCAAAAATAATAAATATTTTGAAATCATAGCAATTTTATTCATACCATGAAATATTTCTATCATTTATTTTTTCATTTTAATTAAAAGATATTCATTTTGTATGTTGTAAATCGAGATGATAATTAAAGGAATGTAAACCAAATAGAAAATGAGATGAAAGGAAAGAATAGATGAATTATTAACGAAACAAAATAGATTTTTTTTTCGACATTCGGCCTTATGGAAGATATGTCGAAAAAAATTACGTATTTCTATTTACAAAATGTATAGTACATTGTCTTATCACTCTTGTATATTTACAGGTTTATGACTGTATATAGAAGAGAAGTTAATTGGGAAAAAGTGGTTGAGGTGCTTCTTTTAGTAGTCGAAACGAAAGAAAATATGCAGGTGCAGTTTTTCGTGGCCTATTGTTGCCATTGAAGTAATGGTAGATTTTTTCGACCTGCTTAAATTCTATTCTACTACTCTTTTTGATGAAGTCACCTTTGACGATGGATGTATCTAGATTTAGTAATTCGAGCATGGTTGGTCAGGACACCCATTTCTTTTCAATTCCAAGGTTTCTAAGTGCTACTATAACAGCGTTGTTTGATAGAGAAATTTTTCCAACGCATTTCTGTCCTTTAGCCCGATCACCAACTGCTCGAACAATAGCCTGTTGAACATGAGCAGCTATGCCTTTCAACCAACGAGTTTTCTGTGGTCGAACTTGTTTTGGCTGTTCAAATTCGTCATCTAAACGACCATAAAGATGAAGACGAAGGAAGGTTCCATCGCCTGTTTGTGGTCTTTTATAACGAAAATTGTAATTATTCATATTATATGATATGAAAAAAAGAAAGAATGTTTGAAGAGAGAAGGACAATGTAGAGATTTAGTGAAGAAGAAAAATAGACAAGAACTGAAATTTAATCTAGAATAATAGGTTTAAATCAAATGATTTTTCTCTTTTCTTTTTAAAATTTTCCTGCACAAGAATGAGATCTATATGCTGAACAAATACAACAATGACCTAATTGAATTTGTTGAAGTGGTGCCATTAATGAATGTCGATCTGTAAAAAAGAAGTAAAAAATTAGAAATTTGAAGATATATGATGGGATGATATAAATAGATTAGGTTTTCCAGCTTATTCTTTTCTTGTTCTAAAATATTTTATTATGAAATTTTGGATGAAATTTCGCTGAAATTAGTATGACAATGAAGAATTATGTTATTCACATATGTTGTTTTTACATGTGTGATTGGTAGCTAAGCTTTTGAAAGAAAGGATGTACGAATGTCTTACCGGACCATGGTGATGTGCTGGGGAATGGTGATGCAAATGGTTGCACTTGATATGATAATGATAAATGCTGATACATGTTCTTGTTATTTTGATTGTTAATTCTATATTTATGTTTAGATGATCGATGATAATAAGGTTTATAGACTTTGTTTGTCTTGTTTTTGGTTTTGGTTGAGGATCCTTCGTTTTGTTCAGGTGAATCTATCAATTGGTTTTCATCATTGGATGTTTGTGCTTGTTGTTGATGATCTTGTTTTTTAGTGGACATCTTGATAATAATCTAAAAAAACACGGTATCGTTAGAAATGAACTGTTAGAAACAGCGATCGATTGTTCTAGTTCTAAAGAGACGATCCTCTACACGTGGTAGACACTATTGTTCAAAAGGATACACCCATCGACGAGTGAAGTGACTGTTTCCATGGCCTAATGGATAGAAAGAGAAAATAATGTGTATATGCGCGTGTTATATGCGCCTGTTTTTCTTTATGACTCGTTCATCGTTCGCTCGATACATTCTTATTTGGTCAAGTTTCGCTTCTTTCAGCTATATTGAACGTTGCGTATTTCATCGTTTATCATCAATCAACAATTGTTTTATACTGCCTTCATAAAGTTTAATTGTTTAACTAAATTTAGTTATCAATAGTTTTTAAAATTATTTAGTTCTCAGTTTCATTTAATAATATAAAAATAATTTAATTATTAAGAAAAAAAAATACGTGAAACGATTCAAATAATATCTTCTATGCTCTTAAACTGTAATAATTCATTAAAAAGACAATAGCACTTTTTGAAATTTTTTGATCGTTTCGATACAATTAACTTAGATTCAATTTTCATATTTCCCATTTTTTTTACTTTAATTTTTTATCGGGAATTATCTTATATAATGTTCTTTTTTTATGTCACTGGGTTTAAAAAAATAAAATAGAACTACTTGTATATAATTCGAAATGAGCACTGAAAGATAATAACGTCTACTCTAAAGTAGGTTAGTTTTTTTAATATTTTTACTTTCAAAATTGAATTCATTTTCTAGAGTTGAATAGCTTGTATTAAATTAATTTCTTTTAGTATTTCTTAACCTTCAAATCAATATTAACTCAAGCTTCACACACACTTCGATTTACAGGTTTCGTTTTTTCTTTTATTTTTTTTGCACATATTATTTTGTTACTTTATTTCCTCTGACGAAACAATGAGTGAAAAGTCATTGAAAATTCACGTAGATATTCCAGGAGGACGCTCATTAGATTCCAACTGTTTACTGAATGAGATGAAGAAAAAGGTTTTGTTACAATTGACGGAACAAAAACATGTTGTTAATGAATCTATTATTAGAAACTCATGCAAAAATGCGTTGTCTCGAGCACGATGTAAAAGAAAAGTCGAAAATAATCATTTTATCGTTTATATACCGTTAACTTCGGTTAGTGATGGTCTTTCTTCTAGTTCGAATTCCGATTTGAGTGATCATAATAAGCAGGATGATTCTGAGAATGAGATACGTTTATCACCAACAAACGATACTTTACACGAGTCTGCTTTATTAAAATACGAATATGTAGATGGCAGAGGTTTATTGATTCAAGCAAATTACAGCTATTTGAAAGACATTTTCTCAGAGTTTTTGTCACGTTCTTCAAAATGTAGAAAGACGTCTAATTTTATTGATGACATTTGTTTTTATTGTTATCACTCATCTATCAAATTTTACATTATGATGTCCGATTTACGGCGTCAAATTTGTAGTCAGATCAGTTATTTTGTTCGAAAAGCGAAGAGAAAAGCTGAAACAAAACACGTGTCGATTAATAATGTTCTTATGGAGACAGATACTTTTCTTTTTTATTCAAAAGCAGTGGAGCCAGTTGACAAAACCGATGAATTCTTATCTCTACAACTTGAGTCATTTGCAAGCGTTAGTTCTTCCAATCATATTCTTATTGTTCGTGAGAAATATGTTGTAAACATTCAGCCTGGAACTGCATGTATTTATGTAACAATTAGTGAAGCGTTTGTTAATCGAGCTCTTCATCAATTTGATCGTAGTGGATTAGTTGACGTTAATGAAATCGTTTTGATTATTGAGAGCTATTGTCAACGACGACAGCTCATACCCAATATGATAAAAGGTGAAGAAATATTGAAGACAGCCATTTTAGAGAAAAAAACAGGAGATGTTCAGTCACAATTCTTGTCTTTTACCGTTGAAGTCAATGACCAAGAGTCATGTTCTCAAAATGAAACAAACTTTGATCTAGATGCTCTATTAGGTCCTATCTATTGTACGAGAGGAACCAAAAGAAATCAACAACTATCGTTTGATAGTGATATTAGTGATTCTGATGAATGTTCAGCAGAGAACAATGAACTCTGGCAATTGGTTCCTAAGTCTTCAGGAAAGAAAAAGCGAAAAGATGTTTTTAGTGAAGAACGAGAAGAATTACGAAGAAAATTTCTCCATATTAAAGATGAATATCACATTGCAGATTCTGCTATTAAAGCCTTGCATAAATTTTTTAAAGAAACAAAACAACCTTGTTACTCGATGACTGAACTTCGACGAGTACGACATAAAGCTAATGAAAAAATTCCTTTAAAATTTACAAACGATTCTGCATATGTTCCGTTTGAGTTCGCCCTAAGAACTTCGATTTTTGTCGCTCTAAAATTCCGGCCAGATCTTCTACAATTGAATCGTCTTTCTTTCCGTTTGAATATGGATGGAACTCTGATGGGCAATAAACATGTTGTAGCAATATCGATTAATTGCGTTGACGGCGGGCCATCATCTCAAACAGCTCGAAATCTAGTACCAGTAGGAATTTTTGAAATACAAAAGGAATCAAATGAACTTTTGCGTAAGACTCTACCGAAAGATTTTCTTGAGTCAATTCAGTCTATCAAGCAATTAAGAGTTTCCAGAACGAAACATGTGGATGTCAAAATTAGATTAGGAAGTGATTTTCAAAATTCTGTTTATGAATTTGGTTTAGCTGGTGTACATAGTAACTATCCTTGCGTTTTCTGCACCCAAAATAAATCTTATCTTCATGTTACAGAAAGGAACACAGAATGTGAAGAAGAAGTCTGAGAAGGTACTGGGGTAAATAGAAAGAAAAAAAAACAAAAAAACGATTGTAAATCCAACATCTGTATATGATCCGACTCTTGGAGCTCGAAGTCTCCAACAGAAAACTACTTGTTTAGCTGAAAAAGCAAAGAAAAATTCAAATAATGAGCTTGGATATCAAGCTGAACCTCTCTTTGGAGATTTATTTGAATTTAGCGATTATGTGATGGATACACTGTATATGAGATTGAGAATTTTCGATATCATTTTGAACGATATCCTTGAAGAAGCTTCACGTACAGGAGAATACGAACCCCAACATACTAAAATACTACAAGAGAAAATTGAAATTCTCAACAAACACGCTACCGATACGATTGGAAAGCGATTTTTCTTTAAAATGGAAATGGATCATAATGTAAAAACGATTAAATCAGTTGGTCGCTTTTCTGGCCATTTACAGCAAGCACTTTTTAATAGCTCGTTTCCTTATGAAAAACTTATTCAAAATCAAAACATTTGTAAAAATGCGAAAAATTTAGTAAACAAATTTAAATTGATCATCGATTTAGTTAAAACAAAAAAAGAAATGAGAAGTGGTGTCTTAGCAGACGTTGCTAAATCTTTTGTGAAAGATTATCTTCAATCAGGTTTACGAACTGTATGTACGCCTTATATGCATTTAGTCGGTACTCATTTAGCCGAACAAGATAAATATGAAAATCTACCGTCTTATGACATGCAAGGAGTCGAAAAGTGTAATGATTTACTTTCGTGTCTTTATTTTTCATCCAGTAATAGAGCTAAAAAACCATTAAGAACCATGGTACAAACTTTATATCGTCGACTTGAAATGAATTTTTCAGATCCCAAAGATCGAGAAGTAATGAGTCGATACGCTCGAACAGGAGTAATGAACGAAGCAGATAGCGAAGAAGATGATGATATTGACACAAAGTCACTGTCTTCTGTTAATCAAGATGAATCACTTGATTGTTCATCTAATAGTACTGATAGTGAGGAAGAAAAAAGTGATGAAAATGACGAAGAAGAAACAGATGCACCACCAGATTTCATGTCACAATACACGTTTCAAGTAAAAAAGAGAGAAAATCGTTGGAAGAGTTTTAAGAGAAAAGATTAGTATAATTAGTAAAATATATTAAGCTGCGATCATATACCCTCCATATTGGCCGGTATATGTTAATTTACTTATATTCGAAAATGTAGTCTTATTACTTTGTTTATTGCAACAATAACTGTCTTTTTCATTCAGTTGTACTTTTCTGCAAGATAATTAGACCCTCTACGAAATAGATCCAAGAAATGGCAATAAAGTCATTGTATTCTTTTCTATATAATACACATAGAATGTGTTTTATTTTTATAAAGAGTTTTTCAAAATTAAAAATATATTTTTATTTTTTATATTTTCAGTTCTTAAATATGTATAATCAGCTCTGCTTTAAGAGTTTGTACCAGTCATGTGTATGTCAACTTCACACACATTTAAAACAGAATATTCCTATTATAGATGCTCATTGTCACCTGGACGATTTCTCGGGCAAATATCTTTTCTTTAACTCTATTTCATCTTCGAACATTCGAGAAATTTTTATGATTTCGAACAAACATAAATATAAGAACTGGGACAAGGTTTTTCATGTGCCTTCCCAGAATATTAAAATATTTGAAGCTTTCGGAATGCACCCGAAATACCTTGATCAACACAACCTTTATCCACGCCTTAACCACCTAAAAGACATTGTTTATAACCGACAATATCCAGTATCGGGTAGAACAATTGTCGGTATTGGTGAAACTGGTTTCGATGAAACCAGTCCATTCAACATATCGGACCAGAAAATCGCCTTTAACGAACAGGTTTTTCTTGCTCGCGATACAGGCTTGCCCTTAATACTTCATTGCCGTGGATACCCTTTTTTTCGCTCTATGCTAGATACCTTAACAACGTTTCTTCCTACCACACACCCTATTCAGTGGCATTCGGTTAAACCTGATAGTGATCTTCAAGTTGTTGACTCGTTTATATCAACATTTTCTAATTCACTTATCTCACTGAATGGGGCGAGCACCTTAGTTCGAGACATAGATGAAGACAAATGTTTTAAAAAATGGCTGAGAAATCATACCCATTTACTCGACCACCTAGTCTTCGAGACCGATTGTCCGTGGCTTTGTCCCAATGGCCTTTCGCCACAGGACTATAATCCCGCCACTGGTATTTTTACAACATCTAAGTGGCTTGAAAATGTACTCCGAAGTCCGGGTAGAAATGCATCTAATTTAATTCGTCTTGCAAATGAAAATGCAATAAAAATATTTCGTTTGTGAATAAAAATTCATATGATGCCTTATAGCGATTTCCAGGAAATCATATACGCTTTGGAGCTCGAATCAATTTCCGGAAATTGAGTTTTATCATCAGCTATACTAAACTCTGCGAAAATTTACAATTTCCCAATTTCCATCATGGAAATTATGTCCATTATGGACTTTTGGTATAGCTTCCGTAATGGCCGTAATGGCCGTAATGGAGAATTTCCCAATTTCCATCATGGAAATGATGTCCATTATGGGTGTGGGTGTGGGTGTGGGTGTGGGTGTGGATGGGTGCGCGTGTGGGTGTGGGTGTGGGATGGGGCAAAGGAGAAAACGAACATCCAAACCGACGCCGACACCCACCCACACACCCACAGCCACCCACACCTACTCACAGACCCCACAAACATCCACCCACATCCACACCCACGCACCCTACCCACACTCATACACCCTACCCACACCCCCACATCCTGCACTCTCGGATTCCTCAGATGGACAATTACTTTTTGAACAGGCCAATCTTAATGTATTTAGAGAAGCTTGGCTCCAAAAAGATAATAATATAAAAGGAGTTTTTAGATCAAAACGATTTGTGGGGCATACTTCATTACTCGAGAAATGCTTGTATTGGTTGTACCGGTATAGATCTGAATGAATCCATTATTGATTACGACTTGGAAAAGGTAATGGTCTTAGCTGATTTTCCAGAAAGTTTCTGATTGCATCTTTCGTCCTTTTTGTTTTAAAATTATTTTCTTCATTCTTTGATTGTACCCGTTTAACAGTTGGAAAACTATGAATATCTAGAAAAGTAATATAATAAAGAGGAAAAAAAGAGACTAAGAAAACTGTCATTTATTTTTGCAAAGTTGTTCTTATTGTTCATTATAATTATAATTATTATACTATTATTCTACTATTATTATTGTCATTGTTCATTTACTTTTCTCTTCTGCCTTTCTCATTTGTCTATTAAATGATACGTCCGTATTTTTTAAACACCTTCTGGGTATGAATTCATATGTGTTATCTTTGATTAACTTGTCTTTTTCTCTATCCTTTATCTTAACATCTTTTCTCTCTATATTTCTGTACTGTCAGCACCCAAGAGGTCGTCAGTTGTCGCAAATAAATATATAATATATAAAAATATAACTTTCGAGATCATGCCACATATACAGGACGCGATGCTTGTATCGGAGATTGAACGCGTGTTTACAAATAGGAATATAGTTGCTACTAAGAAAAATTGAAACAGTTTTCCTTCAAATTTTAGTAGATACAAACCAGCAGTTCTTATATAAAGTAACCGAAATATTTGGACTAGACTATTTCATGTAAACAAACTTAGGCATTCTCGATGTCTTTGTCTTCGACCTACTCTATGAAAAGAAATCATTCTGAGTACCGAGAGAGAATTATAATTTTTCTGATTCTATGTATTCGAAAACACAGAACTTTCTATTGTCCAATGAAGAAATAAGAAGAGTATTATGATTTGTTATAAGCTTCTAAAAGAGCAACAAGCTCTACTACTCTGAAAGATCTTGTTTTAGTTATTTATGTCATTTATTTTGTTACAGAAGTCCACTTATTGTATCTTCAACAAAATATGGGAACCCGAAACTTGCGCACGACGAAACTTGCGCACTGCAATATGCGCACGTACGACTTGCGCACGACATAGAAAGTATCATATTTACAAATAAGAAATTATATAATTTGATCAATCATTAACTGTAATGACTAGGCATAGTCTGTTTAATTATTTAATCTAATTAAAATGAGCTTATGTTCAGAACAAATGTGTCCTATATATGAGAGATGGTCATTCACATACGAAACATTTCATTGTCAATTCTTCTTGAATATGTCTACTTCTGTCGAATTCATTACTACTACAAAAGATCATCCGTTAATGGTATTGGATGGTTTCTCATATATTCAAGATCGTCAAACTGACACAAAAACTTATTGGCGTTGTGAAAATCATAAAACTTGTAGTTGTCATTTTCGTATACATGCATGTAATGAATCTGTTACTCAAACACATGTTAAAATATTAAAACAACATGGTAATCATGCAGCGAGTTGCAAAAGAGATTTAATTAAATTATCATTAAGAAAATTTCATGAAGATATTGCTGATCGTGCAGAAAATACTCAAGAAACAACCGATATTGTATTAACACAATGTATGTCGAAATTATCTGATTCAGCACGTATACGATTGCCACCATTAGATCATATTAAAAGAACAATTTTACAACATCGAAAAAAAATTGATTTGCCACAAGTACCAAATGATGTGGATTTTCCTACTATTCCTTCGGTTTTACAATTAACGAAACGAAATGATATGTTCTTACGTATTGATACAGGTCCAGGTGAGTAAAACACATCTCCTGATTATTTTTAAAAAAACATTTAATAAAGAGCTTGATCAGTCACTTATTTTAATATTCCTGTTTAGGACCTGATAGAATACTTATCTTTAGTAGCTCTGAACAACTTGAAATCTTACAAACATCAACTAATTTTCTGATGGACGGAACTTTTGAAGTATGCAAAATATCTTTTAAAAACTAATCTTTATTCTACTAACCAAAAATCTTTGTTTTGATTAGATAGTTCCAGAAATATTTTACCAGCTGTATGTCATTCATGCTGTACATCGTGAACATGTTATTCCTGTTGTATTTTGTTTACTTCGACGAAAAAATACGACGACATATCAAGAAATGATTAACAAAATATTAGAACTTGCACCAGCACGGAATCCTGAAACTATAATGTTAGATTTTGAAAAAGCTGTTTTAAACGTTCTTTCAAATAGTTTTCCACACGTTTCTTTATCTGGTTGCTATTTTCACCTGAGACAAAGTATCCATCGACAATTACAGGTATAACTAACTTATGTCATAGTAAAATACATAAATTATGTGGTTCTGATCATATTATGTATTATTTATTTTAGACACAAGGTTTACAAAAGCAATATGAAGAAAATATTGATTTTGCTAATGGTATACATAAAATCGCAGCACTGGCATTTATTCATCCAGATAATGTTATTAATACATTTACAGATCTTAGTATTCATCTGGATGATACATTTCAAACTATATTGGACTATTTTGAAGATAATTACATCGGTCGTTTTCGAGCAAATGGATCACGTACACGACCACTATTTGCTATTGAATATTGGAATGTTTATGAACGAACTAAAAATCAACAGATGCGAACTAACAATTCAGCAGAGGCCTGGAACAGACGCATCAGTAGGTTTATAAATATAAAATAAAAAGCGAATTTTTATATATGAATAATTTTCTGATTTCAGAATGTGTTTTTCAATGCTCACACCCGACGCTATGGAAATTTATTGCAAAAAATTATATTAGAAGAAGATTCGAATATTCATACCAAGATCGTTCGAGCCAATGCTGGCGAACCAGTTAATAAAAAAAAGAAGTATCAATATCTTGATCAACGATTATTTAATCTTGTTTCTAATCCTCATCAAAACAATATTGATCAAATTAATGCTATAGCACATAA